GCACCTTCTCCTCCTTCAGTTGTGGCTATCGCTGATTGCTGCGACCAGCCATAGTCAAAACAACCTCACTCCTCGTCTCCCTCGTCCTATGTCATCGTTAATGGTTTGGTGACAAACCTGGCCGAAAAATGCCATGAATGGAGACCTCCACAGCACGTACCAAAACAAAGCCAGAAACAGAAGTTTTGGATAGAAAGATTATGAAAGATTGGAGTCGATGGAGTTCGTTTCGAGTGTCGTCCGACGAGATTCCGCCTCATCGAGGTTCAATCCCTTTCCCTTCTCTTTACTTCATTGTTATAATGATGGCTAGAATATTGGTGATTTTAAACATGATGCGGGCTCATTATTTTCTAATTCTTCTGGGTTCAAGTTAACGTTGAAATGGTTAGAAATTTTTGGAGTATTATATGAAGAGATAAAATTAGCTTTGATATGAATTTCTGTTTATAGTTTATTCTTAATATGCCACTGCCAAACTTTGGCGCATTTTCGTGGCCAGTAACAATATTGAAATGAGTCTGCAAATTGTTTCTTAGTTTGTAGTGGTTGTCTTTGACAAGTTGGCCAACCCACAGATCGTCTGCACATAGTTTGAGGACAAATAACTTATGCTTGAATTTCAGTGCTAATTCTAAGTTTCACGTTGCCATTTTGTTCCACTCATCAGTGTCCCATTCTTTCTTGGTAATCCAATTAATTAGTTCTTTATTTCGTGTTCTCTATTGTTAGTGTTTGCTCATTTGATCTTTGTTAGAATTGTTTGAATGAACGTGGGATCGTGGGGAGTGATAGAAAGGTCAAAGCCCATTAGCAATTAATTTGTTCCGTGTTTTAGATATCAGGTTCAGCCGGATAGGAGAAGGGGTTAAAAGGGGATTGTTCATGAAATATCATTTAGTAAAAGTGTTCCATAGCTCATGGCTCTCGAAAACTCGGTTTGAATTTCCCCAAAAATTGGAATTGAGGTGCACCGCGCCAAATAAAATCTTAGCTGCACGACCCTCATTTTAATTAGTCTTCGTTTTAATCCTTAGAAATCGAGGTGTGCCATTTAGTTGAAACTCCATGGCCCTCGCAAAGTGCAAACGCGTAGTTTCTTTAAATGCACTTTTAATAAAATTACTTTCTTAAACTCGGGTGCGCATTGATGCGACCCAAATCCAAATCTTGATGAAGTCGAAATGTGTTGACAATCACGGGCGCATTGATTGCGACGGGGTCACGTTTTTCACGACATCGTAATTCTTATAAAATAAATAATGATAGAAAAGGGGTTCACAAATTGAGACGAGCCTCACCACACAAAAATGAATAAATGTGGGGCCCTCAATAAATGATTGATTAAAAATATATTAGACTTCGGGATGAGCCGTTTAGCGAACTTCACGGCTTTTCTCCAAAATAATATTGCGTTAGAGTCTTTAGGCGCGATTTTAATTAAATGACCTTCTTAAACTCGGGTGCGCATTGGTGCGACCCAAATCCAAATCTCGACAAAATCGAAATGTGTTGATAACCACGGGTGCATTGATTGCGACGTGGTTCGAAACGCGTTTTCACGACGTCGCAATTCTTTTAAAATAAATAATGGTAAAAAGTGGTTTACGAATAAAAAGCACATAGTCTAGCATGTATCAAAGTCAGATAAAATTAAATACAATAGTTAAGCGACCGTGCTAGAACCACGGAACTCGGGAATGCCTAACACCTTCTCCCGGGTTAACAGAATTCCTTACTCGGATTTCTGGTTCGCGGACTGTTAATAGAGTCATAAATTTCCTCGGTTCGGGATTCAACCGGTGACTTGGGACACCATAATCTTCTAAGTGGCGACTCTGAATAATTAATAATTAAATCCCGTTCCGATTGTCCTTTAAATAGAAAAACTCCTTTACGCCCTTGCGGGTGTAGATGAAAAATGGAGGTGTGACACTATCTTCTTCGGATCAATCTGAATACCTTCGCTGGACACCACGTGCCCCAAGAAAGCCACTGAACTGAGCCAAAACTCACACTTGGAGAATTTTTCATAGAGCTTCTCCTCCCTCAATCTCTGCAACACAACTCTCAAATTCTCCTCGTGCTCCTCCGACTACGCGAATACACTAGAATATCATCAATGAAGACTATGACAAATGAATCGAGATAAGGCCGAAACACGCTGTTCATCAAATGCATGAATGTTGCTGGGGCATTAGTCAGCCCAAACGACATCACCAAGAACTCATAATCACCATATCGGGTCCTAAAAGCTATATTAAGAATATCTGAGTCCCTGATCTTCAACTGGTGATAACCCGAACGGAGATCAATCTTGGAGAACACTCTCGCTCCTTGAAGCTGGTCGAATAAATCATCAATAGGAGGCAAATGATACTTGTTCTTAATTGTTACTTTGTTCAATTGCCTATAATCAATGCACATTCTCATAGTGCCATCATTCTTCTTTACAAATAGAACCAGCGCACCCCAAGGTGACACACTAGGCCGAATGAAACCCTTATCGAGGAGTTCCTGAAGCTGCCCCTTTAACTTCTTTAACTCCACTGGTGCCACACGATACATCGGAATAGAAATGGGCTGAGTGCCCGGCACCAGATCCATACCAAAATCAATATCCCTGTCCGGTGGCATGCCCGGCAGGTCTGCAGGAAACACATCGGGAAAATCCCTCACAACTAGAACAGAATCAATATTGGGAGTCTCAGCTTCGACATCTCTCACAAAAGCTAGATACGAAAGACATCCCTTCCCAACCATATTATGGGCTTTCAAGAATGATATCACTCTACTGGGAACATAATCAGTCAAACCTCGCCACTCAATCCGTGGCACGCCGGTATAGCCAATGTGACTATCTTGGCATGATAGTCCAGAATAGCATGACACGGAGGTAACCAGTCCATGCCCAAAATGATATCAAAATCCACCATACACAATAATAAAAGATCCACTCGGGTCTCCAGACCCCCAATAGTCACCACACACGACCGATACACACGGTCTACAACAACGGTATCACCCACTGGAGTAGATACATAAACATGTGAAACAAGAGACTCACGGGGCATATCCAGATAACATGAAAAGTATGATGACACATAAGAAAAGGTGAAACCGGGGTCAAATAATACAGAGGCATCTCTATGGCAGACTGACACAATACCTGAAATTACAGCATCTAAAGCAGTAACATCAAGTCTACCTAGGAGGGCATAGAAACAAGCCTGACCACCACCTAATCGACCTCCCCCTCTAGGGCGACCCCTAGCTGACTGACCTCTACCCCTAGTTGGCTGGGCAGGTGGTGAAGTAACTGGAGTAGAAGTCGAGGGCTGACCCCTCTGCTGAGACTGACCATCATGAAGACGAGGACACTGCATCCTCATATGCCCAAACTCTCCACACTCATAACAACACCCCGGTGCTGGAGATAGGGACTGAAGGGAACCCCTGACACTAGAATGACTAGTAGAAGGACCTGGCTTGGAAGAACCTTACACTGATGGAGCACGGGATGAACTTTGGGCTTGAAAGACAATAAGTGATGAGTGGCCCTGATAAGAAATGTGAGAACCATGACCCGATGATGCCCCACGATAACCTGGGCGAGCTTAATGAGCATGCCTTAATGGACAGCCTCTGCCCTGCTAGAACTGACCCCTCGAAGGAGCACTACTAAAGCTACCAGATCCCTGAGGCCTCTTGGACTCCCTCTCCTCTCGCTCCTAGAGGCGAACCGACTCAATCTCACGGGCGATGTTAACAACCTCCTCGAAAGTAGCACATGTCACCCTCTCCCTAGTCATTAGAATTCGAAGCAAATATGTGAGACCATAAAGAAACCTCATAATCCTCTCTCTATCTATCGGAACCAACCAGACCGCATGATGAGCTAACTTAGAGAACCACATCTCATACTGCGTCACAGTCATCTCTCCCTAATGCAACTACTCGACTGCCTGCGTAGCTCCTCTCGGCGAGACTGTGGCACATACTTCTCCAGAAAGAGAACAGAGAACTGCTGCCAAGTAAGGGGCGCTGCACCAACAGGCCTACAAGGCAGCCCTAGAAAACTGAAAGGTGGTAAAAGCCATACCACTGGTCTCTAGAATACCCGTTGTACGAAGCATCCTCTGGCACTTATCTAAGAATCCCTGGGCATCCTCGCCCTCTGCACCGCTAAAAGTCGGAGGCTTGAGTCTACCAAACCACTCTAGTCGATGCTGCTCATCGTCCGGCATAACTGGTACCACAAACTCCTGAGCTGGTGCAACCGGCTGGGCTGGAGGTGCCCCTGGTGTCTGGAGTCCCTGCACAACCTGCTTAGGTGTGCGAGCAACAAGAGTCTGGGTGCCTCCCCTAGCCTGAGAAGTAGCTGCGGCCGTAGTAACTGAAACTGCCTGAGCCAAACCGGTACACCTGATAAGATTTGAGCTAAGACCTCCTGAAGGCCTGGAATCACAATGGGCAAAACTGGTGCCTAAGCTGGTGCTGCTGTAGCATCCACAACTGGGACCTGATCCTGGCAGCTAGTGGATCTGCAGGTGCTGCCCTAGCTGCTCTGCCCTTACCACGGCCTCGGCTGCGTCCTCGGCCTTTGGTGGCCCCAACTGTTGGTACTGGTGGTCGTCCACCCTGCCCGGTAGCACGTGTACTCACCATCTGTGAGAGAATGGAATAACAGAAGTTTAGTATTCGGATCAACAGATTCGCACGACAAGAATTTCAAGGACATGAAGATTTTCCTAAAGGTTCTCAGCCTCTCGAGGATAAATACAGATGTTTCTGTACCAATCCGCGAGACTCTAATAAACCGGCTCACGACTCGCTAGACCTATGTAACCTAGGCTCTGATACCAACTTGTCACGATCCCAAATACCCGGTCGTGATAACGCCTATCACATTACTAGGCAAGCCAACCCAAACTATTAACTGCAAAAAATTCCATTTATAAAACCATTTTCTCACACTAGTTTAAATACCAAATTTCCATTATAAGTGTTCAAAGACAACAAAATATAAGCGGAAGTCAAATAAACATGAACTAGATAGCCCCAAATATCTGGTGTCACGAGTCTAGAGCCTCTACTACATAACTGACTGTCCAATACAATAGAAGTCTAGAAAAATGCAGAAAAGAACAAGATAAGAAGGAGAAAACAGGGATGCGGACGCCATGCAACTACCTTGAAGCCTCCGACAACCTCTGGATCAGCTGACGACCCTCACTCTGCCACTCGAGCACCTGGATTTGCAC